GTCTGGCTCCACCATCCCCACCAAGCCCACCATATCTATGCTCGGTATTTCCATCAGCAACACTCTTTCATGGGATAATCATGTCAGATCCATCGCAAAAGCTGCTTCACAAAAACTCGGATTCTTGTTCCGTGCGAAAAGCTACTTTACACCACAACAGCTTCTCATGATATACAAAGCGCAGATACGGCCTGTTCTAGAATACTGTTCCCACATATGGGGTTCAGCACCAAAACATACGCTGATGCTCTTAGATTCCATCCAGAGAAGAGCCATTCGCCTGGTGGGTGACGCCACACTCACTCACTCTTTGACATCATTGGAACACCGTAGAAAGGTCGGCGACCTTTCACTTTTCTATCGATACTTCCACGGGAAATGTTCTTCGGAAATCTCTGCAATCATCCCTTCACTAGCAATACCAATCAGACGAACTAGACAAGCCCAGTCAGCACATCCTTTCGTTGTCAACCTCGAAAGATGTCGAACAGCACTTTATCAAGACTCCTTCATCCATAGAACGGCTAGGCTCTGGAATTCATTGCCTGTGGAAGTATTCCCAACAACATATAATCTCCAAAAGTTCAAAAAAAATTCCAATACCTACCTCCTGTCCCTATCCTCCCTAGGAACGCGTGATGTTCTTTGAACATTATAGGGATTCCCTTTCGTGCGCTCCAAGCGATAAAAAAAAAAAAAAAAAAAAAAAAAAATATGAAATCGTTCATTAATGACCCCTATTAATGAACGATTTGTCTGTTAATGCACGATTGTTTTATAGGCAACCAAACATACACCGCGTGCATTCATTGTTTATGCTATAACTTACGGAATATACATTTAAATCGAAAATATGGATTTCATCGAAGATTTTCCGTTAACGGGTTCGCCTTTCCAAGTTTCAAACACGATTTTAATGCCTGTTTTCTGACACAAGGAATTTATTTTCTATGGTGATCATTTCGACAAATGTCACTAATGTCAGTAACAAGGCTACTGGGTGATTCTCAGCAGTTTCCGGATGAATGATGGATTCGCGAACCAAGTTTTCTTCATTGCAGGAGAAATGGGAAATATAGTCGACGGAAAAATTTTGTAACCAACTTGTATATTGAAAGGCTATTAATTATCTCGAACATTAATCGACCTCATTAATACACTAGTTGTTTAAAACTATTACGTAGCAAGTCCGGAAAAAACTGTTTTTGGACGTCTTGCGTACACTATTTTTTCGGCAACCATGTAGAATAACGAATTATAGAGACACATTTTTTTAATTCTCATTTGCATCAAATGCTGAAATTTGAACAGAATACCAATACCTATACTAACTGTCACATTGTAAATTTCGTATGAACATTTTCAAACTCACTATCGCAGCTGCTTTCTATAGTTTATTGCGATAATTGCAACCAAACTTTCAAAAATCAAAATGTCAACTAATTTCATGTCATATAGCTGTCAGCCGTCAGCCGATATTTCGCTGCTATGGTAATTATCATCTGCATTTATTAAAACAATATTTAACAAGATTTTCATAGTTACAGTGACAACAACGATGTGATACTTCCCGGCCTAGGGAAGTACGTACTTCCCGGACTAGCCCGGAAAAATTCTACTTTCTCAAAGAGAAAGCGTCCGGAAAGTGAGCACTAGAATGGAATTTGAAACTGTAAAATTGTTAACTACGACTATTCCAGAGAAAAAACAGTTCAAAGGAAAGATTGCGTGACGCAATCTTACTAAGAAGATTCGAATAGGACAATAGCGTCTTTAACATAATTTTTTATATGAAGAACGTTAGTGAGATTTGATGATTCTCATTCAGAAAAATATTCTATAAAAAAAATGGAAGATACTGTCGAAAGAGTTAATACATGACCCCACATGACACTTAAATGTTTTTGACAAGATGAGTTTATATTTAATTTCATACCACATTTTTTTTCGACTTCTCAAAAGTTAGCATCAAATAACTTCAGACAAGTACTGTATGATATTCTTGAAAATATTTGAATCAGAATGTACCGCTCAAGGTGATGAAGGTTTTGTGAAATATAATCCAAATCGTTCAAGGAAAGCCAGCAAATTTTCTATGATTTCTCAAATTTTCGTTGAATCTTCAAAATGTAAAGAAAACTTCGTTTTTGGATGATGAATTGATATTCATCATACAGGACGTGGAAAGAAATTCTGGATTGAGAAAACCTAATCACGAATCTGCGATTGAGGTCTATAAAAATAACAAGTTTCCATCGTTCAAGCATGAACCCCTTGATTGGGTGAAAGAATTGAAAAGGAATATTCTCAGATATATTCATGAACACAAAAATGGATATACAGGGTGTTTCGAAATTCAACCGACAACGCTTGACAGGTGATAGCCCTCGTGATTTCATAATCACTGAGATCGGGCGTTGAAGTTGAGAAATTGAAATTGATTTTTCGCAATATCTCAAAAAAAAATTGAATAGAATGCATTCAAATTTGGTATATGGTATCATCTTTCAATGGTAAATTTTTTGACCAGAAAGACATTTTGAGAATTTCATCCAGAGGTGCGCTACAGAGGGTTGTGATAACTTTTCCTCCCATATTTTCTACGTCACTGATGAAATTTAGATTATCACCAATTTCTCGAATTGATTGTTCAATTATGTTCAAAAAATGCATTACCTTCAACTGAGCTAAACTGAACAGTTATCGAGATATTTGACCCAAAATAGGAGTTTGCATAGTAATTTTTCATCTTCCTCAGTAGTAGAAGATTACAAAAATGTTTGTTTTCTCTTCATGCGTGGAATAACTATTTCTGTTCAGCTACAGAATGAGATCTGAATAGTATCTAATCTACTCAACACCATAAAAATATTTATGCAATCTTCTATTTTGGGTCGAATATCTCGAAAACTGTTTATTTCAGCTCAGTTGGAGGTAATGCATTTTTTGAACAAAATTGAACGATAAATTCGAGAAATTGGAAATAATCGAAATTTAATCAGTGAGGTAGAAAATATGGGGCAGAAGTTGCCACAACCCTCTGTAGGGCACCACTGGATTAAATCCGGAATGGCTTCCTGGACAAAAAAGGACCCATTCAAAGATGAAACCATTCATCGCAGTTGAATGCATTATATTCAATTTTTATTGAGATATTGCGAAACTATTATTATTTCTTTACTTTAACGCTCTGTATCTCCAGAACTGAACACTTGAAGACCGTATATCCCTATCTCAGTGATTATGAAATCACGAGGGCTATCACCATCACCTGTCAAGCGTTGTCGGTCTAATTTCGCAACACCCTGTATATATAAAAAAATACATTGAGAATTCGCATTCTCCATGTGATGAAGATATCAATTCTTCCTCGGTTTATTCAACAGAAAACAACTTCTTTCCTGGCTATATGCCACGTCGACTATTGAATTATATCTGTTGAACATCCAAAAAGAGAGCATGAAAAATCACTATCCTCTGAAATTGTGAATTGACATTATCTCTCAAATCGAATAGGAAATAATATGATGTATTATGATATATTTTTATATTTTTATTCAGAACATTGTGTTTTCAAATTCTTATCGTGTGTGTTCAATAGATGTAATTCAATATTCGTCGTGGCATATAGCCAGGAAAGAAGTTGTTTTCTGTTGAATAAACCGGGAAAGAATTAATATTTTCATCACATGGAGAATGCGAATTCTCAATGTATTTATTTATGAATACAGGGTGTCCGGAAATTATGCGCAAAAAATCAAGGGGGTGATTCTAGATGATGAGATAAGAAATTATTTTCATATGTACGTGGGTCCGGAAATGCATAGTTTTCAACATACAGTGTGTTAAAACTTTTAAACAAGATCGGTTTTTTATGAATATCTCAAATATCCTTCTACCAATTCTCTTGAAATTTGGCAATGATATTCTTTGTCATGAGGGGCTGATAAAGCCATAATTCAATTGTAATTATAAAATCCAGTGGCGTTCCGGGGGGCAACCTATCGAATATTATTGTCAATAAAATGTGCGCCACTGATTTTTTTGAATTCTGTATCTTCATAGCCTATTGACCAACTAAAAATACAACATTTCGGTCTCCTGAATTATTTCGATAATTTGCTTCATTTCCATGAAAAAGAAATAATTACCAATTTATTGCATACATTTGTGCCAAAAAAATTCCTTCAAAAACTGAGGTGAAAATAAATGCGTGATCAATGTCCATAGATATAGAATGAGTATGAAGATTAATTTCCTTCAAATATTCCTTGATACATGTTTGACACACTCTACACTCTGTATATTGAGAACTATGTGTTCTCGGTCCAGGAAGGCGTAGTTTTCGATAATACAAAGTGTGTCAAACATGTATTATAAAATATTTGAAGAAAATGAATCTTAATTATTATTCTACGTCTATGGACATGGATAACACATTTGATTTCACCCTTGTTTGTGGAGCAATGTTTCGCACAAATTTATACAATGAATTGGTATTTATTTTTTTCCGCGGAAACGCAGCAATATTGCAAAACAATTCAAGAGATTAAAATGTTGTATTATAAGTTAATCATTAGGATATGGAGATAGAGAATTTGAAAAAATCAGGGGCGCACATTTTATTTACAAAAACATTCGGTAGGGTGCCCCCGGGACGCCACTGGATTTCACAATTCTAATTTAAAGATGGCTGAATTAGCCCCTCATGACAAAGAATATCATAACCAAATTTCAAGAGAATTGGTGAAAGAATATTCGAGATATTCATAAAAAAACGATTTTTTCTGAAAAGTTCAACACACTGTATCTTGAAAACTATGCATTTCCGGACTCAAGTATATATGAAATAAATTCCATGTTTTCTCATGCAGAATCAGTCCCTTGATTTTTTGCTCATAATTTCCGGACACCCTGTATATCAATTTTTTTGTATTCATAAATATATCTGAGAATATTATTGACATGTGAAAGAGAAAGGGTGATGTGAATGCACTCACCATAGCATCGGATCCATCTGCATGCAGTGACGTGGGAAATCTCATATCCTTGACGTCCAAGGATACAATCTTCAAATTTTCCGACGTGTTGCTCATATTGCCGCTTTATTTGGCTGCTTCCCAACCGAAACTGAACTACTCGCAACAGCGTCTACGACTGATAATATGATTTATATTTCGATTGTTAATCAAATTTACACAATGTTTTTATCGAGAATGAAAAGATTACGCTTGAGTGACATGCACGAGACAAAATGTTATACATGATGTATTAGGTATTTCGTTTTAATTTCCTTTTTTTCTGTTTTCCTGTGAATTAGTGTACAGTGTGTCCAGTTTTCGATGCTTTTGCGTGATATCTCAGTTATCTCTAATCAGATTTTGCATAACTGTTTCCGTTTATGAGATACAGGGCGATTTTGAAAATTTATACTTTTTGGACCCCCTCTATATCTACGAAGTTTCTCAGCAAAAATTTCAAATTGAAATCTCATCCCATATAGAATTTCACGCATAATCCAGTGGCGAGCTCACAATTTTTTTTGGGGTATAGTTTTGGAGATACGACTCGAACTTATGATTTTATGAATGAAACACCCTGTATTTTATAAGCTCATAAAATTCCTCAATTTTTTCTCTTCAAAATGATGTATAATGTATGGATATAATATTTTCAAAAATGCTCTAAAATCAATAAAACATTGAATTTTAATAGTGGGCTATTGATTTTTCTTATAAAAAAGTTCCAATTGAAGGAATATTTATTTTGATTTTTCCATGAAAAGGACAAAAACAATACCAACACTAATTAACTAAAAAAACACGAGAATTAGGTACCTGATAGCATACATAAATAGTAATAAAAAGTTCATGATGTAGAATGAGCACCAGATTAAATATTTACAAAAACAATATTGAATTTCGGAATTATTCAATAATTTATTCATTGAATTGTTCAAATTAGTGTCCATTTTCCATAACACACAATTGACACAGTTTCTCAATACGTCTTGATACAGTAAGGGGCACAACAATCTTGAAGAACTTCGTGCAACAACAGAGGCAGTTTTCCAGGAATTACAAAGACATCCTTCAATGATTCTGAATGCAACATGAACAATTCAATGAATATAAGTTACTGATCAATTTCGAAATTCAATTGTCTTAGTGAATATTAAATGTGCTTATTCTAGATTATGAACTTTTTATTACTATTTATTTGTTGCTATCAGGTATCTAATTCTTGTGTTTTCTTAGTTAACTATAGTGTTGGGATTGTTTTTGTCCTTTTCATGGAAAAATCGAATGAAATATTCCTTCAATTGGAACTTTTTTTAAATGAAAAATCTATAGCCCACTATTGAAATTCTAAGTTTCAGTGATTTTGGAGCATTTTTGAAAATTTTATACTCATACATCATATTTAATTGTACTGTACAGTGTGTCCAGTTTTCAATGCTTTTGCGTGATATCTCTGTTATCTTTGCAGATACAACCTTGCGGTTTTCGCGGTCCTGTGCCACTTTTTTGTGAAACTCAAGATGGCCTTATCAGATTTTGCATAACTGTTTCCGTTTATGAGATACAGGGCCATTTTGAAAATTTATACTTTCTGGGCCCCCTCTATATCTACGAAGTTTGTTGTTCTAAAATTGTTCTATCCGTCATTCGGTTGCCCCCTTACGAGCAACCCTCAGAAGTCTTCGAGAGTCTTGTGCGAGCAAGAAATGACGGGGGCCTTACCTTCTAACGTGTGATCCCAAACACTTTCTTGGGCCATCGGAAAAATTTCTGCAGTCGATGGGAATCGAACCCACGACCGACAAGCGAATGCGGATTAGAATATGGACACTCTGTCCGCACGGCTACCTGTCCCCAGTTTATCAGCGAAAATGTAAAATTAAAATCTTATACCATAGAAGTTTCATGCAGAATCCAGAGGCGCACTCATATTTTTTTCGGGGTATGGTTTTGCAGATACGACTCAAACTTATGATTGTTTAAATGGAACAGCCTGTATTTCATGAGCTCATTAAATTCCTCATTTCTTTCCTTTCAAAATGATATATGATGTATAAATATAAAATTTTCAAAAATGCTCCAATATCAGAAAAACATTGAATTTTAATAGTGGGCTATTATTTTTCATATAAAAAAGTGTTTTTTTTATTTTTCCATAAAGAGGACAAAAATAATATCAACACTAATTTATTTGAAAAACACAAAACATGGGTATACCTCATAGAGAAAATGAATAGTAATTAAAAGTTCATATTGTCGATAAAGCAAATGATTGAATATTCACTGAACTAATTGAATTTTGAAATTATTCAGGAACTTATTCATTGAGTTGTTCGAATTGATGTCCATTTTACGTCCTAATGCATTCAAAATCATTAAAGGATGTCTTTTGGAAAACTGCCTCTGTTGAAGCACGAAGATTGTTGTGTCTCTCATTACTTTATTCAGAGATATTGAGAAAGTGTCAATTGTGTGTCAGGAAAAATGGACATTAATTTGAACAATTCAATGAATAAATTACTGAATGATTTTGAAATTCAATCGTTTTTTAGTAAATATTCAATCAGGTGCTCATTCTACATTATGAACTTCTTATTAATATTCATTTGTTTGCTATCAGGTCTCTAAGTTTCGTGTTTTCAATGAGCTTATAAAGTTCAGAGTTTTCCATTCAAAAAATCTTTAGTTTGAGTCGTATCTGCAAAAACTATACCTCGAAAAAAAAAATTGAGTGCGTCACTGGATTCTGCGTGAAATTTCCTACGGGATGATATTTCAATTTGACATTTTCGCTGAGTAGAGAAACTTCCTACATATAGAGGGGGTTCAAAAAGTTTGAATTTTCAAAATCGCCCTGTATCTCATAAACGGAAACAGTTATGAAAAATCTGATTAGGCCATCTTGAAATGGGAAATGAAGTCAATTCACAATTTCAGAGGATTTTCATTTTTCATGCTCATAGCCAGGAAAGAAGTGGTTTCCTGTTGAATATTCAGAATTATATTATGTGCATATCTTTATATGAAGGAGGATGAAAATTCTCTACTTCAGAAGATTTTGTTTTCAAATTCTTATCGTGTATGTTCAATTCAATGTTCGTCGTGGTATATAGCCAGGAAAGTAGTTGTTTTCTGTTGAATGAACCGATGAAGAATTGATATTTTCATCACATAGAGAATGCGAATTCTCAATGTATTTCATTATATACAGGGTGATTCACATAAGAACCGACATGGAGCAGGGGCATGTAAAGGGTCCCAAAATATGGCAATTTAACGCAACTTACCTCTATACCAAGTTGCTTCCCTAAGGAGTTATAGGCTTTGAAAGTGAAGTTATAAATTTTGAAAAAAATCAGTATCTCCGTTATTCTTGAACTTGAAGCAACCAAATTTGGTGCACATTGTAAATGGCGTTACTTGACAGTAACTAGAATTGAAATTTGTGAAGGGGGTATACCGGGTGGCGCACCATTGATATTCAACAGAATTTTGTTAACTCCTGATGGATTTTAAAAATATTCGCTTTGTTTTATAGGCAATTCAATTCTAAAACTTTTCTTACTCCAGTAATCTTTCGAAAAACCTCATCATTTTCATCAAAAACTCGAATAACTGAAAACGCGCGCTCTAGGTGTGTTATTTGAAATCATCAAAAATTCAAAAGTTGGCTATGAAAATAAACGTCGAACAAGAAAGTAGGTCATTTAATGTGATCAGTAGAAATTGGCTGGCAAATTATTATTTAGATACGTAACAAAATACGTAAAGTAAATACAGATACTGCAATGTGAAAAACCGGGATTAACAACTAACCAAAATAAACACAAAAAACTTAAACAACAACCAGAACAAACAATTGTTTATCGATAAATTGAAGAAATTGTTCAAAATGATCGCCGTTTTCTCTTACGCATAAATTTATTCTTCTTCGAAAATTAAAATCCACCCTATCTAATAACTGTTGATTATTCCTAATAGATGTGCATTTATGAATAATGCGATTCCATAATCCTTCTTGAGACGCAACGAGCGAAGAATACACGAATTCTTTCAATGTTCCCCACAGAAAGAAGTCACATTTGTTCAGGTCAGGTGATCTTGGCGGCCAACGTTGTGGGCAATTATTTCCTCTTGCTATCCATCTATTGGGATACTGGTTGAAAAAATTTAGTACTTTCCTACTAAAATGGGGCGGTGCTCCATCGTGCATAAACCAATGTTGCAACCTTAGTTGTAAAAGTACCTCGTCAAGTAGATACGGGAGGGTGTTCTGTAGAAATTCTGAATAATTTTCACCATCCAGCCGATTCGGTGAAACAACATTAAAGAGTTGATATCATTACCAATTTGATCACATCTTGTGCAAGTCCATTTCACTGACTTTTTGAGTTGATGAGTCTAGTTTCTGATGCAATGATGTTGACACAATGATGGTAGAACGCCTTTGAGCAGACACAGCATTTCAATAATAAATGAGAATCGAATGATTCAGAGCAGCAGCAGCAATTTTCCATTTTCTATATCTGCACGACACTAGAATCGAAATGCTATCCCAGACACTTACTAGGTACTGATGATTAAATCGTAGGTTATATGTAACAACTTCGTGGATAGTTAAACACTGTGTTCTTCGTAATAGTCACTTTGGAGAGTGTCATTAGAGTGTCATTCGAAAATGTTTCTTTATGGGGAATGATACGGTTAGGAAATCTTTTACGATATTCTTCTACACTTTTTCTACAGTTTCCTTCACAAAAACCTAGCACTAACAGCATGTCAACTTGCTCGTTAAAAGAAAACTTCCCGTTCATTTTAAAAACACTCAAACAACAATAATTACTTAATTGACCAACTTTCTTGCTTCATTGTCAAGTTTGACGTTTATTTTCATAGCCAACTTTTGAATTTTCGAAGATTTTAAATAACACACCTAGAGCGCACGTTTTCAGTTATTCGAGTTTTTAATGAGAATGATGAGAATTTTAGAAACATTTCTAGAGTAAGGAAAAGTTTAGAATTGAATTTCCCACAAAATAAAATAAAGATTTTCAAAATCCATCGAGGATTAACAAAATTTTGTAGAATATTAATGATGCGTCACCCGGTATACCCCCTTTACAAATTTCAATTAAACTCTAGTTA